CAAAAATTAGCCACTGAAAACCCTACAGAGCCCATTCTGCCCTGTCACACATGGGGCCACCATGAGTTGGAGTTGACTCCATGTCAGCTGGTACTGGTCATGTGATGGTGGAAATGAGCAGGCAGCAGACTTGCCCTTGGCCTTTACCTTGTTCTGTTTGGCACCCAGGGTCCTTTTGACATGGATGACTGCTTGTCTAAACACTCCATCAACCCTTATAGCAACCGAGAGAGTAGGATTGTCTTCAGCACCTGGAACCTGGATCACATGTAAGTACAAGTCATGAGAGAGCTTCTGGAGGCCCTGTTGCTGAGAACCACACCCACAGACCTCCATTCTTCCCAGCTGTCAGCAAGCATGTTGTGTAACATTCGTGATTGGGGCTCAGAGTGGTTTAGTTTTAATTGCAGCAGGCTCTGAGGAGGAGCTGGGTTTGGATACCCATGTGCCCCTCAGCATGCCACTTCTCTGACCTTGATCCCCAGCTGTGAGTGTAGTGGGTGTCACGGAGCAGCTGGGAGGGTGGGATCGTGTGGAGGGGCCTGGTGCAGCTCTGGGCTCCTGGCTGAAACCAGGATGAGCTCAGTAAACAGTAGCTCTTTGTTGTTCTGGCGTGTGGGGATCTTGTGTACACAGGATGGGCAAAAATCTTGGCTAGCACGAATGTTTTTATATCTATATTAGTTCTGTGACAGCTCATTCTAAAAACAGGGCAGAAATGGAAAATTTCATTATTGTCACTGGAGACACTGTCCTTGACTACACTTGTCTCACCCCTGCTTTATGAAGACAAAGAGCTTCCAGTGCTCATACAATGGGTATATTACTTCTTGGATTGAGATTTTTTGTGAAAAGTTATAAACGTTATAGGTACAGTTGAAGCACCCTTTTTCTCTCTTCCTGTACTCAGTCCCCTCCTTTGCCTTTCACCATCACCCAAAGTAATTGCTATCCTGAAATGTGTACGTCCTTCAAATACCGGTTTTTATGCCTTTACTGTTCAAGTATGTGTTCAAAAACTAAACAGATGCTATCATACTCCATTTTGCAGCTTGCTTTTTCATCCTAATGCTGATGCATGTGTAGATTTAGTTCATGCACTTTAGCTGGGGCATAAGACTTCAGTTTTGAATATGTATATATAATTTCAACATGCATTTCCATACTGGGGGACAGGTTATTTCTATTTTTTCCCAATTACAAACAACTCTGAAATGAACACGCTCTTTAGTCTGTGGTCTGTGAACCAGCACCATCAATGGCATCTAAGAGCTTGTTAGGGAGGCAGATTCTCAGGCCCTGTCCCAGACCTGCAGTGTTAGAATAGGCACTTTATCCAGCTGCCCTGTGATCCGTGATCTGGGTGCACACTCAAGTGTGGGGAGCACTGTCCCAGGGAAAGGGCAGGGCATGGAGGGCTGCCCATCTCCACCTTTCCCAGCAGTTCCCCCAGGCTGCTCCCCAAAGTACTCCAGTTTACACACTCATCAGCTGTGTGAGTTCACATTGCCCCACGTCCTGCTGGCACTTGGTGTTGTCGTGCTTTTTGCACTTTCCCCATCTAATGGGCAAGAAACACACGCACTTGCTTTAATTTTCATTTTCCTGATGAGTAGGAGGGTTACATGTCTTTATATGTATACTGGCCATTTGTGTCTTCTATGAACTGGCTGCTGGTTTCCTTTGCTCATTGTGTGTTGGGTTTTTGTTTTCTTATTTATTTGTTAGGACTCTACATATTCTGGATTCTAATTCTTTTCTGGCTATTTGTGTTACAGATAGATTTTCCTAGACTTGGGTATGTCTTAATTTAACTGTGATGCCTTTTTTCATGACAAGTTTTCCATTTTAAATTTGAATGTATTCGTTGTTGTTGTCATATGCCGTCGAGTTGGCCCTGACTCAGCGACCCCTCCTTGGGTTTCTAAGGCAGTATCACTACAGAAGTAGACTGCCCAACCTTCCTTCCAAGGAGTGGCTGGTGTGTTTGAACCTCCAGCCTTCTGGTTAGCAGTCAAGTGCCTTAGGTACTATGCTACCAGAGATACATCTTTTTGAAAGTGTGGCTTAAGAAATCCTTCCCACCTTATTATATTTTTCTAAAATTAAAATTATTATCATTCCATGTAGGACTTTAAACCCATGTAGAGCTAGAGTATAGGGTGAAGATCAGAGGCTAATTGAATTTTTTTCCACGTGCTTGTCCCAGCACTGTTTCAGGATTGCCATTGCTTCCCTGCTGGTTTGTCATGTGCCTCTTGACATGCACTGATGCTGAAAGGTGGTGCCTGGCCTCTCCAGCCATCAATCTGCTCTTGTACTTTCCTGACCCATTGGAGGGTGAGACATCAGTCAATGAGATACCACCAGCATTCTGAAAATGAAATAGGCTAGACTAGAACAGAATGCAATGAAAGTAGCAGAACGCACAGCAAGAGAAAGCAGTGTTCCATGAAACTTGTTTCAGTCAGTTATATTTTCTCTCTCTTAACATGAGTATTCACACACAGATATCTACATTGGATTTTGATGAAAAAATGTAGTTTTTCCCATGTGTCAAGACCAAGGCCTTTGGTCTTGGTATCTGAGATCCAGACCTTACATGAGGCCAATGAATGGGGGGTAACAGACCAAGAGGGAGGGGCCATGTGGGAGTTCAGTGGTGACTGAGCTTTAGGAGGCAGATGCTAATCTGTAATGGCCGTGTGGTAAGGCCAGTAAAGGCCTTGGAAGACAGAGGCTTAGGGAGCATCCTTGTTGGTAACCATGCATAGGAGAGGGTAGCACATCCCTGTTTGGGACATGGAAGCTCTGCACTGTGTCAACTCCTAGACTTCACTGTATCTCTCCATTCGTAGTTTTGTTGTATTAAAGCTACTGTTGCAGGTGTGGTATCCTCTCTGTGCATTCTGAGTTGTTCTGGTGAATTATCAGACTCAAAGGAGCAGAGTTAGCTGGATGCTCTAAGTGGAGGGTGTCGTGTAGATTCAAGGGCTTTGGTCTGTACCCCAAGGGGATAGAGGAAAATCTGAAATTTGGGCCTGGCTGATGTGAAATGAGGGGGGTTATGTGGGCCCCTGAGGTTGCAGCTGGTTCCTGCTGATGCAGCTCTAGGAGGCAAGGGATCAGAGAGAAAAGTATGGCATGGGCAGCTGGGGTCTGAACTGACCAGGGAGGGAGGCTGAGATCTCCACAAGATGCAGTTGGCATGTGGAATGGGATTTATTAACCACCACATAATTTGGCATCAGAGGAGGAGGATCTTAGTCTCCCTGGACTGATTTGCGCAGTTGATGCAGTGAGCAGGATTTGCTAGGGTGAAGCTGGTGTCACTTATTCCCTTTGAGATCTTAAAAATTTTCCACTTGTCTTTCCTGTAAGCAACAAAACAGTGTTTGATGTTTTAGCTAAAACAACTGAGTAAAAAGTACATTTTAAGTGTCTGTAGTCCTGCTAAAATGGCAAGGAGGCCACATCTTCTGAGCTCCTCTAACCCCACAAGAGGAAGACAGAATCACCATCAGTAGCCCAAGGCCTATTACTGCAAGGCCAGACATGCTGCCTCCCTCTAGCCCACTCATCAACCGTTCCTCCCAAAGTACCCACCACCTCTCTTCTGGGTTCGATAATTCACTGCAGTGGCCACACAGAACTCACAGATTATGGGGTTTACTAGAGAAGCACCAGTCTACAATTCAAGTTCAGGAAAAACATTCAGTCTCTCTCCCAGCCCACAGTCTCTCTCCTAACAGTCTCTCACAGTCTCTCTCCCAACAGTGCAGGTCCCTTGGTGTCTCACTCAGCAATGCGTGTCTCTTTCAGCAGCAAGTCTTCCTCAACCAGCAGTCAGAGAGAGTTCTGCCTCTAGGAAGCCTCCTTTTGAGCCTGGCAGAGTGGCCAAACTAGCCAATCACAGCATCAGAACTCTAAGCACCTGAGAGAGAGTGGGAACCTCCCAGAACATTGTTTTGTGCCACTCCCAACAGAAATACTCCAGGTGGACAATTTTAGCAATTAGCAGCTCCTCAGTTGCTCATAGCAAATCCTACCTTGGAGTTTACAAAGACTTATGGGTAGAAAAGCCACATTAAGTAATTTACTACACTGCAGTAGTGTAGTAGAGAAATTGCACGAGTGACCTGTTGCCTGTGGGACTGTGGCAACAGAACATGACCATGTGACCTTACTTTGCAGAATAGAAAAGAAACGCACAGTTGTCCCAACACTGGCTGAAGCAGTTAAAGAACAGGATGGAAGAGAAGTGGACTGGGAGTACTTTTACAGCCTGCTGTTTACATCAGTGAATCTGAAATTAGTGCACATCGCCTGCCATAAGAAAACTACTCATAATCTCAGCTGTGACCCCAATAGGATCTACAGACCCAAGGCCAGGTTGAAGAGGAAGCAGCCTGCTTGGAAACGCACATGACATGTGTGCCTCACGTTGGGACCTAGCATGGGGGCCTTACAGTGGTGTGCCATTCTTTCTGCCAGTGCTATCAGGACCTTGCCAGGGCCCACAGTCAGCACTGTCCTTGCAGGTGCTAGCTTTTTTTTTTTTTTTTTTTTGGTCACTCCAGTGGTTCCTGGAAAAACCTCTGTTTTTCAAAATTTTTCTACAAATTTCTGATTTTAGTACATTTCTGAATCTCTTTTCTACACTGTTCATAGCCTGAGTTCCGGAGAACAAGCTTTACTGCTCTGAACATCTGTCGGTACCTAGTAATATCGGTCGGCAGGGATGAGGCACTTATTTGAACTCAGAGATGTTTTTGATCTGAGTTTACCAGTATTTTGTATGCTTATAGTGTAATCCATATCCTCATAAGGTGTAATGCCTGAACTTAGTCTTTCTTGCTGAGGGCTAAGTTATTAATTTACTCATCAATTTGACCCTGCTGTCTCTCAACCCAAGAAAAATAGAAAGCTCTGTCCTCTGGATTCTTCTTAAAAGCTCTAAAAAGATTCGACCTTTTTGGAATAAAATGTTTGTATTCCATAATTACTATACACAAACATGCACTGCAGACTTGTTCATAATGGAAAAAAACGGAAAACCTTCTAGATGTCTATCTGTGGGCATACTAATTATGGTGTTTGGGTGAACCATATGAAATCGCTGTTTTTGTGATAAGAAATCATCAGATTTACATAATGCAAAACTATGTTGTGTAACTGTATGCACAGCACGACGCCATCTGTTTTCTAAAAGGCCTTGGGTGTACCATATGAGGCATGTGAGCACGTGCAGAGTCTGTTAGTGCATGCACAGGCAATTCATATGTATGTTAGTGCAGACACAGAGATAGTCTGCCTGTTCGTTAGTGAGTGCATGGAGACAGTCTAGAAGGAAACACCCTAAACTGTGAACAGTAGTAATCCTGAGGGCTGGATTACAAAGTACTTGTTTTTAATGTATTTCATAGTATTTGAATTTTTTGAAATGAACTTTATAACATTTAAAAATTTACTTTTTAAAGTTACACATTTTATAATACTTGGATTTTTACCTATTATTTTATAATCAGAAAAGGCAATAAAGATCTTTCAAAAATAAACATGTCAGAAGTTTGTACTCATTGAGAAAATAATGAACGTAAGGCTAAAAAGGAGTCAGTGGTTTTAAAAAAATTTGACCAAAGTCATTCTATTTTCTTTACTGAAATATAGAAATACCTTGAATGAGCCGTTGGTGTGTGTGGAGTTTTCCTGGTCTCACCTCCAATACAAGATGTTTACCTGCTCTCACTGGGGAGGTTATAAACAGTGGGACTACAGACTGAGGGCCATGATACCTGGATCCTCCCCCCAGACTTCTTTGCATGGCTCTCTAAAGTGCAGCAGCAGCCTTCTCACCTGTGCAGCGAGGAGGGTGGACCTTCCAGCTCAGTCATTTTGACTCTAGGGAATGAGCTGTTCATTTTCCAATAATGGAAGTGTGTATCTTTGAATTTTTGGCCCAGGGCTTGGCAGCTGCTTTTTGCTTGGTTGTGGCTCTGTATTAAGGCAGGGGCCTGAGGTAGGCAGGCCAAGGGCTTGGAGGCTGGTTTTCACATGGCTGTGGTGCTCTATTAAGGAAGGGGCCAGAGGTAGGCGGGCCTGCAGCTGGCGGCTGCTTTTCACTTGGGGGTGGCTTTATATTAAGGCAGGGGCTTGCGGTAGGCAGGCTGGGGGCTTGGATGTTGCTTTTTGGTTGGTTTTGGCTCTGTATTAAGGCAGGGGCCTGAGGTAGGCAGGCCCAGGACTTGGAGGATGCTTTTTGCTTGGGTGTGGCTCTCTGTTAAGGCAGGGGCGGCCAAAGGTAGGTGGGCCTGAGGCTGGGAGCTGCTTTTCGCTTGGGGGTGGCTCTGCAGGGTCCTGAGGTAGGTAGGTGCAGAGGGGTTAGAACAACTAAGGGAGATGAATTTGTCAGTTTGTTGTCCTATGGTGGCTTACATGTTGCTGTGAGGCTGGAGGCTATGCCACCGTGTTGCAAAATGCCAACAGGGTTACCCATGGTGGAGAGATTTCAGCGGAGCTTCCAGGCTTACACAGATTCAGAAGGAAGAGGCCTTCCACTTCTCAAAGAATTGGCCAGTGAAAACCTTATGAATAGCAGTGAAACACTGTCTGATATATGACTGGAAAACTTTATGAACAGCCCTGAAACACTGTCCGACATAGTGCCAGAAGATAAGCCCATCAGGTCAGAAGGCACTCAAAATTAGACCGGGGAAGAGCTGACTACAGAGTAGAGACAACCTTAACGATATGGATAGTGTAAAGCTGTTGGGACCTCCACTGGCTGATGTGGCACAACTCAAAATGAGCAGAAACAGATGCAAACATCCATTAATAATCAGAACATGGAATGTACAAAGTATGAATCTAGGAAAATTGGAAGTTGTCAAAAATTGAATGGAACACAGAAAGATTGATATCCTAGGCATTAGTCAGCTGCAATAGATGGGTTTTGGCCATTTTGAATCAGACAACCATATGATCTACTATGTGGGAATTGACAATTTGAAGAGGAATGGTGTGGCATTCATTGTCACAAAGACTGTTTCAAGATGTGTCCTGATGTACAATGCTGTCAGTGATAGGATAATATCCATATGCCTACAAGGAAGACCAGTTAATACTCCTATTATCCAAATTTACGCACCAACCACCAAAGCCAAAGATGAGGATACTGAAGATTTCTACCAACTTCTGCAGTCTGAAATTGATTGAACATGCAATCAAAATGTGTTGTTATTACTGGTGACTGGAATGCAAAAGTTGGAAACAAAGAAGAGTCACTGGAAGTTGGAAAATATGTCCTTGGACATAGAAATAATGCTGGAGATCATATGATAGAATTTTGCAAGACCAATAACTTATTCATTGCAAGTATCTTTTTTCAACAACCTAAGTGATGAGTATACACATGGACTTCACCAGATGGAATGCACAGGAATCAGATTGCCTACATCTGCAGCAAGAGGTGATGGAGAAGTTCAGTGTCTTCAGCCAAAACAAGGCCAGGAGCTGATTGTGGTACAGACCATCAACTGCTCATTTGCAAGTGCAAGTTGAAGACAATTAAAACAAGTCCATGAAAGCCAAAATATGACCTTGATTATATCCCACTTGAATTTAGAGATCATTTAAAGAGTAGATTTGATGCACTGAACACTTATGACTGAAAACCAGAGGAACTGTGGGATGACATCAAGAACAAAGAACATCATCCATGAAGAAAGCAAGAGGTCATTAAAAAGAAGACAGGAAAGGAAGAAAAGACCAAAATGGATGTCAGAAGAGACTCTGAAACTTGCCCTTGAGCAGAGAGTAGCTAAAGCAAATGGAAGAAATGACAAAACAGCTGAACAGAAGACTTCAAAGAGCAGCTCGAGCAGACAAAGGCAATTACTATAATGAAATGTGCAAAGACCTGGAGTTAGAGAACCAAAAAGGAAGAACATCCTTGGCATTTCTCAAGCTGAAAGAACTGAGGAAAATATTTAAGCCTCGATTTGCAATACTGAAAGATTCTATGGGCAAAATATTGAATGATGCAGGAAGCATCAAAAGAAGATGGAGGAATACATAGAGTCACTGTACCAAAAAGAATTGATGTTCATCCATTTCAGGAGCTGGCATATTATCAAGAGCCAATGGTACTGAAGGAAGAAGTTGAAGCTCCACTGAAAGAACTGGTGAAGAACAAGGCTCCATGAATTGACAGAATACCCACTGAGATGTTTCAACAAATGGATGCCCCACTGGAGACACTCACTTGGTTATGCCAAGAGATTTGGAAGACAGCTACTTGGACAACTGACTGGAAGAGATCCATATTTGTACCCATTCCAAAGAAATCTGATCCCACAGAATGTGGAAATTATCAAACAATATCATTACTATCACATGCAAGTAAAATCTTACTAAAGATAATTAAAAAATGATTGCAGCAGTATATTGACAGAAAACTTCCAGAAATGCAAGCTGGATTCAGAAGGGGACGTGAAACAAGGGATATCATTGCTGATGTCAGATGGATCTTAACTGAAAGCAAAGAATACCAGAAAGATGTTTACTTATGTTTTATTGACTACACCAAAGCATTCAATTGTGTGGATCATGACAAATTTGGATAACTTTGAGAAGAATGGGAATTCCAGCACACTTGATTGTACTCATGAGGACAATCATAACTCACAAGGCTCAAGTTGCAATATTGAAAGATTCTATGGGCAAAATATTGAATGATGCAGGAAGCATCAAAAGAAGGTAGAAGGAATACACAGAGTCATGAGGAACCTGTACATAGGCCAGGAGGCTGTCATTTGAACAGAACAAAGGGATACTGCATGGTTCAAAATCAAGAAGGGAGTGCATCATGGTTGTATCCTTTCACCATATGTATTCAACTTATATGCTGAGCAAATAATCTGAGAAGCTGGACTATATGAAGAACGTGGCATCAGGATTGGAGGGAGACTCATTAACAACCTGCGATATGCAGATGACACAGCTTTGCTTGCTGAAAGTGAGGATGACTTGAAGTACTTACTGATGAAGATTAAAGACTACAGTCTGCAGTATGGATTACATCTCAATATAAAGAAAACAAAAATCCTCACAACTGGTCCAATAAACAGCTTCATGGTGGATGGAGAAAAGACTGAAGTTGTCAAGGATTTCATATTACTTGGTTCTACAATCAACATCAATGGAAGCAGCAGTCAAGACATCAGATGGCATATTGCATTGGGCGAATCTGCTCCAAAGGACCTCTTTCAAGTGATGAGGAGCAAGGATGTCTCCTTGAAGACTAAGATGCACCTAACCCAAGCTATGGTATTTTCAATTGACTCTTATGCATATGAGAGCTGGACAATGAATAGGGACGACTGAAGAAGAGTTGATGCTTTTGAGTTGTGTTGGAGAAGAATGCTGAAA